GCTGCCTCCCTCTTCCCAAGGACACGAGAAGCTAAGCAGGGAAGATAAGGGAGAGGGAGAAGAGAAAAGTGCGACCGCCTTCGTCAAGAGCCAAAGAGAAATATCTCACTTACAGCACTGGTGAGTGGGAGTGGGAAGGTCTTCCTAAACACCTGCTCCTGCAGTCTGCCCGGGCTGGCAGCACCCAGCAGAAGCATTGATAGGTGTCCTGTTCCTGCAGATGAGCAGACTGACATGACGTGTGCATCATCTACAGGTTGAGACGTGTGGTCTTCAGCACTCGTGGAGGCGGTGGATGACCCAGATCTCCTTCCTCTGGGTCCTGGGGGGCTTTGTTGTGGCTTCTTACCCTCTTTACAAGTGTGTTTGCTGATCAACGCAAGTACAAAAAAAAAGTCCGTGTTTCTTCTTCTTTTCCTTTTTAGCTGCTTTTTGTGTTTTATGTTTATTTCTTTCAAGCCCACTGTTTGGAGCCCTATTGTGTTAATCTACTTGTGCTCTTATATTTTCCTCACGCTTTTTCTTCCAGCCTGTTAAATCTGGCACATTACACATGGAAACCAAAGAAAGTGGACTGAGCCGGCGGTGAGGAGACCCCCCAGTGTTTACCTCTCCTCAGCTGATGAAACACTCCTTAAACACTCCTGCACCGCAGCAATTTCCTAATGTTGTAAACCTCAACATCTGGCAATAAACCCCATTCTGATTCTGATTCTGATTAAGCAGCTTCCCAGGTCAACGCGTCACTGTTAGCGGCTGCTCTCCTCCATGATGCTCTGGTGATGTTGGCTTGGTTATATTTTAGTGAACCGGAAAAGACAAGACCCCCGAGGATATGTTCATCTTTAGAGCAACATGTAAGAACTATTGGTATGATTGTAATACGTGTAATAAGTTTTCCTTTACTGGTAATTCAATTCAATTTTATTTATGTCGCGCCAAATCACAACAACAGCCACTTAGAGTTTAAAAAAAAAAAAAAAAAGTCCACAATTTAGTCTCTTGAATGCAGGACGGTTTATTTAAGGAATTTAGTAACGACAGAGCAACATCACAATCCTTTATTCCAATCACGTGAATTTGATCCTGATCTAACTGTACTGATACTGATCTGATCTCAATCCTGTGCTTGATAAAGTTGAAATGGGGAAGCAGTGACTCGCCACAAAACGCTGATGAAACAGCAAAAATGAGCAGAGAAGAAGACAAAACGTATCATTTCTGTTATGTGACGGCTGTGTGCCGGCAGGAGTGGTGTAAGGAGGAGCTAATGAGCAGACACTCGGAGGCAGGAAGTGAACTCAAACGTAGATTTATTGTTAGATGGCAAACAGAACTAGCAAAACCAGGAATACAAATACTAAACTGAAACCAACAATAACTGAACTGCACACGGACCACACAGAACAATAAGAGCTTAAACACACAGAGGGAGCAATCAGGGAACGGGCAACAGGAGGGAAACACAGGTGGGGCAAATCAGGCCTAACGAGACAAAGGAAGCAAAACCAGATACATTAACAAAAGGACCTTCAAAATAAAACAGGAAACATAACACAGACTGACTTACAGGCAGGCACTACAACAGAGGGAACACAGACAAAGAAACCAAAGACTAGAAATGATAAATAATATAATAAACTCAAACTTCTGGGTCAACGACGACCCAGACATCCCAACAATTTCAGTGAGTAAATCCACAGTGATCAGTCCTCTGGTGCTTGATTTCAAACTGTGAACTCTTCTTCAGACGTTGCTCTTCATCATTGTGACTCTTGATGAACTTGAAGTTTGATCTTCTTTTGCTGCTGGTTCAGTGAGTTTTGCTCCGAGTGACAAACCTGCGGCTTCAGACTCCGTTAGCGTCGGCTTCAGCACCGACGGCGTGCCTGTTTACGTGCGGTCGGGTGAACGATCCACGCTCTGTGTTTCCATCTTTGTGTGGAATCTGTTTATCCACTCTTTAATCGTTTTGCTTGTTTTAGCTGTTTGGTGGTCGGTGAAATAGTTTCGTGAGCTTTAACCTGAGATTTTGACGCTTCTGGCAAAAGTATATTTATATTTAAAAATCGATTCAGGATTTAATGACTGGATCAAAAAACTAGAGGAGGAGCCTTGAACCTTCCTAAAAGGACTCTTTCATATTGATTTGGCCATGTCCTGACTTCTGCCGCCTCTCAGTGTGATCCAAGTGGAAAAGGAGGCAGACGACCAGAGCTACCTGCTTTGATGCTCCAGTCTGCATGCAGAGTACTGTTAGCTACGAGCTGCTCTCTGTGAGCGTGAATGTTAAGCATAGAAAAGCTAGCATGAATGAGGCATGTTGCATAGAGTTAGGCTAGAAAGGTGTTATACAAGTTTGGGTCCTTTTCTACTCGCGGTGACTCACTTCCTGTTGAAATGCTGTGGGGCTTTCCGCTGCTGCTGCCATATTTGGGATTTCCTGTACCAGAGGATATCTAAGCTTGTGCTTACTTCTTCTTTCAATTCAACAGACATAAATCAGTACCACTCCCATTGCTAACGTGATTTTCTCATCAATACATTAATGTGATCTATCGCGTGATCTCGATCTCATTAAAAACTGATATTATTCGACACCGTCGTCGTCATCGAGGTTTGATCGTGGCTTACGTCGTCAGCATCAATAGGAATGATTGCATCATCTTCATTAACCACAGCTGTATCATTATCAATAATAGTAAAGGTGGATTCTTGTTGGTTACCGTTGCTGACGCGTCGCTGAAACTTGCTCCAAATCCAGGCGCTGCCTCTGAACGCTCCACGGAGCAGCTTCTTCAGGAGGGTTTCTCCATCGATTTTAACGCATTCAAGAAGACAAAGAAGAAGCCGAAGAGATAAACTACACGTCTTATCAATGAGATAATTTACTATTTCCCGCCATAGGACTGTGACTTCTCTTCCACAGGTATTGAAAGTGAATACTTGCTGACTGGTCGATCGCGTCTGTCGTCCCGTATCCATGCTGATGATCAGAATAATCTGAATCACTGCTGCAAACTCTTCAGTGCTCGATGGTGAAATGAAGGAAGCTGCAGGCTGTCTGTGCCTCTCTGTTACTCGCAGCGATGTTATGTTCCCTCAGCTGTGCTCCCGCCTTCTTTTAAGCGTTCTTCTTCTGCAGCTTTTATTTGTGGTTGGCAAACAAAACAATGGTTTATTACTGCCACCCACTGGTGTGCAGTGTGGACTCAAAAAGACAAAGTCAGACCAAACAAAGGCGTCTGTATTAAAAGTGACCTGATGGCTTTCACTGCCTCAGTTCCTTTAAAGTAGATCACAAAGCTTCATTTTCACGTCAGTCACTGTGATACAACCTGTTCTATGATCTCATCTCCCTCATCATCTCCACCAGTTACTATTTCCTCAGTGGTGTTTTCCTTTTGTGAATAATCTGTCCAGGTCTGAGTGCTGACGTCTCCTGTCTCAGTGACAGAGATGAAGGCCATAAGTAGGCAGAAAATGTAGGAACGGGAGGAAGAACGGGAAGGATGGCGGTTTTACAAAATCCAAAGAAAACCGGAGAAACGAGGAAGGAAGAGGAGACAGTCATATTAGCCTTGGACACTGCTTCAAATGGCAGCACTGCACCATTTCATCATTTGCCAACTGCCAATAAAATAAGCAGTTGTGTTGTGTGGTGACACAACTGTCATGTGAGTAACAGAAGCACAGAAACCCTGCAGCTCATACCCAACAGAGAAAGGTGCTGTGTTTGCTGAGAGGCTTATAAAAGTATTCACTTTCAAGGAGATGATGACTTTGGCAGCAGCTGGAAGAAGGAAAAACAAAACTTTGGTGTGATCTCAGCATATGTAACAACAACAACAAACTTTATTTATAGAGCACATTTACAAACCAGTGGTGCACCAAAGTGCTTAACATGCAAGAGGGTAAGATGAAGTAACGGGAAGGATGAAGCTGTGGCAAAGTACCAAAACATGCTAGCAGGTAGAATGGCATTAAATAACATTGATTCATGTTTGTGGCTGTAATGTGACAAAATGTCATGGTCCTGGGTCGAGCGACCCAGTGTTTGAGTTTCATGTATCTTTTGTATTCATTTGCACCAGCTTAGTTCACCTAGTTAATTTCTAGATTGCTGTTTAGTCTTGTTGTCTCCCCCTGTACTAAGTCTCCCTGGTTCATGCGTCATGTCTGCGTGGTTATATTTAGTTTCAATTTCAATTTCAATTTCAATTTTATTTCTATAGCACATTTAAAAGTCACAGGTACAACAAAGTGCTTCACAGACGAGCCATATTTGCAGATTTACAACAAAAGAGAACAGTCAACAACAAAAAATACAGTTATAGAATGGTAATATTACAACAAGCACGAACCGGGAGGAAATTATACTAAGTGGTTTGAAAGGCGAGCTTAAACAAATGAGTTTTTAACCGTGATTTGAAAGATTGAGTAGTTTCCGACGCACGGACATCAACCGGCAAGCTGTTCCACAGTTTTGGTGCAGCAAAAGCAAAGGCACGATCCCTTTCGTCTTTAGTCGAGACATTGGTTGCATTAGGAGCCCCTGATTAGAGGATCTGAGTGCCCTTGTGGGGATATATAAATTAAGAAGGTCAATCAGATAGCTAGGTGCCAGGTTATTTAAAATTTTAAAAGTGTATAGAAGGATTTTAAAAACAATACGGTATTTGACAGGAAGCCAATGCAGGTTAGCTAGAATAGGAGTGATATGATCCTGTCTTAGTAGTTCTTGTCATGTCTAATCTCCATGTTTCCGTTTTACTTTGAAAGTCTGTATTCATGTCAGTGTATTCAGTTTCACTCTCTCCTGTCCTGTCGTTAGGTTCATGTGTGTCAGCTGTGCTCCCATGTGTGGCCACTTCCCCTGATCATCCCTCATGTGTATTTAGTCTCTGTGTTTCATGTTGTCACAGCCAGTCGTAGTATTCACAGTTATGGTTTCCTGTGGCTTCCTAGTTTTACTTTCCCGGTTTAGTCATAGTTTAGTTTGTCACTGCGTTTCTGCCTTGTCTGCACTCCTTGTCACCAGCCACAATAAAGGCTCGCTTTCAGTTAAGTTTACTCCAGTCTACTCTCGTGTGTTCGCACCTGGGTCCACCACACACACCACCGCACGGTCTGCCTCCTCAGATCGTGACAACAAAATGTGGGAAAGTTCAAGGGGGCCCAATATTTATGCAAGTACTGTAGACATCTGCTTGTTGGGAGCAGTTCTCATTGTACAGTCTGACAGCTGCATGGAGGAAGGACCTGCAGAAACGCTCCTTCATGCGTCGAGGATGCAGCAGTCTGTCATCTGCAGCAACATCTACATGCATGGGCTGGGAGACTCTGTCCATCAGAGATGTTATTTTGGCCACAGTCCTTCTGTCTCCCACCACCTGCACTGGGTCCAGGGTGCATCCCAGAACAGAGCTGGCCTTCCTGATGAGTTTATCCAGCCTCTTCCTCTCAGCTGCTGATAAACTGCTGCTCCAACATACAACACTGTAAAAAATGACAGATGCCACCACAGAGTCATAGAAGGTCTTTAAAAGCGCTCCCTGGACTCCAAATGACCTCAGCCGCCTCAGCAGGTAGCGTCTGCTCTGACCCTTCCTGTAAAGAGCATCAGTGTTGTGGCTCCAGTCCAGTTTATTATTCAGGTGAACACCCAGGTACCTATAAGAGTCCACTATCTCAATGTCCACTCCCTGGATGTTCACCGGTGTCAGTGTGGTGGGTCTGCGTCTCCGGAAGGTTGTGATCTGAGCCCCCCAGGGGAGGCAGAGGTGATGAGCTGTATGCCTTACATTACTTATATAATCAAAATAAAATATTTGTTGTTCTGTCACAAGTGCAGTCTCTGATTTAAACAACACATTTGTTTTTCATTCCAACACAGGAGCTGGAATGTTGTAATGTTTTAAGGATGCTTGTTTCCAGTCCAGGCATTACTGCTGAATGACTGTCATGGATCGAGGTGATCCAAATGTAGGTGCAGAAGAAAGTCTTTAACTTCCCTTAAGTACAGTGGCAGTGGATGTGGGTTGGAGATGCAATGAGCTTGAACCTGCAGGCGACCATCTTCACTGACCACACCATCTGTGACGGAGGACTCATCTCTCCTGTTGTCCTGCAAGCAAACAATCATATTTTTTGGAACATGAACTTAATTGCTTTCTTAAAACATTTTTTTCTGCATTTGGTATAAAACAGACTCCAATTTACACAATCTCAGGCTCCCTCCCCACCAGAGAGGTGACATTCAATGTCCCACTGTCAGTCTGGATAGCCGTGACCACCACCCGACATACAATAATGCCATGAAAGCATAATTTTAAAAAGGGCTATGCAAACATGGCCAATAACTTTCATTCTAAGATGTGCAAAATGATTTGGGAACAAAACAAATGTTGCTGTTAGAAAACTTGCAGACTTCACTATATACAGTGTTGACCCTCTAAACTAAGTTTGGGGGATGTGATCTTTCAAGAAAGACCAAACTGTTGTTGTTGGTTTACTTACACAGCGTGTCTTGTATAATTAACTGGAGTCACCAGCAACAGCATCGTGCAGCCATATCTCAAGTCTAATAACAGAAGACAGGAAAAGATCAGTGAAGAAACAACTTCCCCCCCAAACCAAAGCACAAATAAAACAATAAGTAAAACAGGCTGATCTAAAGTATGATTAAAGTTCAGCCTGATTAATATAAATGTCACTGACAGTTGCTAACAAAACCAAAATACTTACTGATGTCCTTCTGCTGGTCCCGAGCCTCAAAGACAGCAAGAAGCAAGCAGAGGGAGAAAAAACTGAAACTGATTTGATCCTTAATGGCTGTGCAATCATTGTAACATAGAGTTTGCTTATGTTGGTAAATAAAGGCTATATTTGACATTAATAGATGCCACAGATGTTCAACAGCTGCCACAAAGCATGAAAAAAATGGACGTCTCCGAAAACGTCGGAGCATTTTTGCAAATATGTGATGTCTTGATAAATCGAGCAGATACTTGAACTTTACACAGCTACATTCTTGCCGGAGTGAGTTGCAGATTTGTGCCGTTCACACTGTCACACCATGATCGGATCGATGGGTCGCATAAAAATCGGATTTGATGCGCTTTCACCTGCAGTGTGAACGCAGCCTCAGTCACCCAGATGGCCACAGATTCACTCTCAGATCAGTTTTTATTCAGTAAAAACTGTTTTTGCAGCAGATTTTGAGCATTTAAATGTCTCAGTAATTATTTAGCGAACACTGAATGTCCTGATGGGCTGTAACCTAACCCAGCCACAGCGGCACCACGAGCCAGCCTACTCTCAGTGCCGGATGTCGGGGGGGGCATCCGAATCAAACATGCAGATCAAAACATTGGAGAGGTGACATTCAGTGTCCCGCTTGTGAGTCTGGATATCCCACAACCTAACACACAGTAATGTCATGATAGCAACTCAAACATGGCCAAGAACTTTTCATTCTGACGATCTGCAGAATAATTTGGGCACAAAACAAATTTCATTGTTCAAAAACTTGCAGAATTGACTATAAACAGTGCAGATAGTGTGGATCCTCTAAACTAAGTCTGTGGGATCTTTGAATAACTGCAGACCAAACTGTGGTTGTTTGTATCTACTTACACAGCATGTCTCGTAGAATTGGAGCGGATGATGCCGTCATCCACGTCCTGCATCGCTCCCTCGCTCACCTGGACACCGCTGGGAGCACTGTGAGAATCATGTTCTTTGATTTCTCCAGTGACTCCAACACCATTCTGCCCACAGTCCTGAAGGACAAGCTGGAGAACTCTGGAGTGGACCGTCACCTCACTACATGGATCCTGGACTACCTCACCGACCGACCACAGTCTGTGAGGACTCAGGGCTGCGTGTCGGGCAGGGTCGTCTGCAGTACGGGGCCCCACAGTGCCATTACCCAGCATACACCACTCCCCCCATAAATGCAATAAACGATACAAAAGTAACAGCCTATAATTAATTTATCTGCTGTTTCTCGGGTAGTTGTTTAATTATATAATTTATTGTGTTCAGTATACGTCACTACAATGTGATTTTGGAAATGTATAAATATACGGACAACAGGCTCTTCAATCTCTTGTCGTCAATAAGCAACGTTTAGGGAGCTCTATAGTATCCAATGAGAGGACCCTGCACGTGGATAAGTGACGCAGAGGGAGCCTGACCATGCGTCACACGTTTGACGAGTTGGGAGTGAGAACGTGTTGGATCTACGGATTTTATATTCTTCACGTTTCTAATTTACATTTAAGCCTTTTACATTGTGTATAATTGTACTGTTCATTCGCTTTGTGACTGCCTGTCTGTGAAAAGCGCTTAATAACTAAACTTTACTTCTTACTTAAATCTGGGACTTTCCACCAGTTGTTCTTAGAACTGAAGAAGCTTCTCAGATGAAACGTCTTCAAGAGACTTAAAGAGTCCAGATGCTTTTCTTTCAGAGCTCCTTCGATCACCATGACCTGAATAACTGAGCACCATCACAGACACAGCCAGTACCCATCTTATTTTAATGTATCTGCCCTAAATTACAGATCTTGATTCATCTTAATGGTAAGAAAGACGAGTGAACATATCAAGATTTCATCGGTTTTTGAGATGTTGTTGTTCAAGCACAGCCTCAGATTCCTGTAGATGGACTTTAAAGTGTATTTCAAGTCTAAAATTTCATTACATCTGTTCAACCATTAAACCAAATGATTGTGCAGATCACACGTGGTGGAGCAGAGGGTTAATTTAAGGTGGAATTAACCCTCTGCTCAGAGAGGAACTTGTGTTTTCACGTCTCTAAATATGAAAGTGCATCATGCATGAACACAGCAGAAACATCCTGACATGAAAGCATGTGAGGAAACCTGATTCACTGAAGATCAGATTACTGCTTTATTAAGAACTACAATGCTACACACTCATTGGCTAACCACCTGACAATCACAGGTAGCCCCGCCCAAACATCAGCAGGTGTTGCTACTCGCTCTGACTGGGCTGGAGCAGCTCAGCAGTGGATCCCAAGCACACACAGAGTCCAGCGTGTAGGGGCTCCGTGAACGTGGTCTGGACTCTGTGGAGGAGGGTGACGGTGTCACAGACGCTGTAGAAGGACAGGACACCTGCACCGTGATCCAGGTGCACTCCGACCACGGAGGACGGAGGCCCCGACAGGAACGCGCTTACTCCGTCATGTCTCGCTTTGTAACCGTTCCTGTCACAGTACAACGCCCAGGACTTGTGGTCATCTCCAAAACTGCTGTCACTTCCTGTTCGGCTCACGCTCCCGTATGCGACCGCCACTGAAATGGCCCCGCTCCACTTCACCTCCCAGTAAGAGCGAACGGTCATACTCTGTGTGCTCAAAGCCTGGAAGCTGTCGGTGAATCTGTGACGATGATGAGGGTAGGACTGTTTTCTACCCACAAACGTTAGCTTCCTGTTCCCCTCTGTGATCTTCAGCCCCACGCTCACTGTGTTTGGATCCACACCGAGGAGCCGGGAGTCTCGGAGTAACTCTGCTCTGGTCCCGGCTGAGATCTGGGTGTGGTCCTGACGCAGGATGCTTTGGATTTTGTCTGCGAGCTCAGAAACAGCTGCCGTCACCTCCAGGAAACAGCAGGGAGGACGGACACTGATGCTGGCTGAGCGTGTGGGTTCACTGAGGGCTGACAGCGAGGAGTGCCTGAGGAGAAACTGGCTGTGCTCCTCTGTGCGTGAGAGCTGCTCCAGCTCCACATCTCTCCTCCTCAGCTCACCGATCTCCTGCTGCAGCTTCTTCTCCAGCTCTTTGACTCGACTCACTTCAGTTTGCTGCTGGGATCTGATCTGCTGCTGCACCTCGCAGCTTTCTTCCTCCACCAGTCGGAGCAGCTGGCTCAACCGGGTCCGACTGTCCTTCAGGGCTTCGTCGGCAGAGCAATCGATGGCCTCCACCTGCTGCTGAAGCAGCTCCACGTCTCTCTGTGCGTCCTGGATCCTCCGCTGGATGTCGAGCCTCATCGGCCCGAGCTCGCTCTGCCTCTCGGTCCTCTCTGCTGCAGCTGACACTGTGTCGTGGCCTCGGTGTGCATCCATAGCACAGAGGAGACAGATGCGCTGCTGATCGCTGCGACAGAACACCTCCTTCACTTTGCTGTGAACGGAGCAGATGATCTCCTGGAGCTCTGCTGAGGCCTCCACCAGCTGGTGTTTGTGAAAAATGGGGGCTTCGTGGTGAGGCCGGAGGTGGAGCTCACAGTAGGAGGCCACACACTGCAGACAGGACCTGGAGGCTTTCAGCTTCCTCCCACTGCACACATCACAGGCCACATCTCCAGGTCCAGCATAGTGCTGAGGATGAGGAGCAGCCTGGAGTCCGGTCTTCTTCAGCTCCTCCACTAAGTCTGCTAACATGGTGTTTTTCCCCAGGACTAGTTTGGGTATGAAGGTCTGTCTGCACTGAGGACAGCTGGGGATTCCTCCCTCACTCTCTTCATCCCAGTGTTTCTTAATACAGCACATGCAGTAACTGTGCCCACAGGGCAGAGTGGCTGGATCCTCCAGCAGATCCAGACAGACCGGACAGCAGAACCTCTCATGATCCAGCTGAAGTCCTCGCTGAGCCATGTTCACTTCTTCACAGCAAACAAAGATGGTCTGAAGGGTGTAGGTCTGTGTGATCCTGGATGTGATGCAGTGATGCTCTTCAGTCAGAGGCTGACGTCCAGTTTATAGTCAGTGTGACTGTGAGGTTTCTGCAAACAGCAACAAAGACCAACAACATTTAATATGAATAAAGCTCAAAGTACTCCTCCATCAATCTCCACCTTACCGTGATAGTAGGAGCAGCCTGCGGGAGGTGCTTCAGGAGGGGCTGCCTGGCCCATTATTACGAGCCATTCAGTCCCAGTGCAACCAGTTTGAGAGCACTGTCTGCATCAATGTCAGACCTGGTTTTTCTGGTGGATGGACTCCACAAAGCCTTCGTCCCTGATCCTGTTCATAACTTTAATGAACAGAGATTCTGGGTGGAGCCAAGTGGCTTCACTTTGGGGGCCTCAGAGTCTCGTCTCTACTTTTTGCAGGTGGGGAGCATAAAGTGATCTACAGCCTTCCTGTGGTCCTGAGCTTTGGGTAGTGACTGAAAGAATGAGATGGTGGGAAGAAAAACTATGAAGTAATAAATGTTTCCTTATTTGAATAATTACTGGCACATAGATGAGAGAAAAGAAGAAAGACTGAGATCATTCAGTAGTATCATCTCAGCCTCCCTGTTTGTTTTTACAGGACATTTTATTTCTCTCAAACATAACGATCATATCACTGACGGTCAGGTTCACTCCTCACTGTGGGCGGAGCTGTGCAGGCTTGTCTGCGTCGCTGTTTTACACAACATATTTATCAAGCTGTGAGCAGCAGGTGGCGCTGTGGAGATGTTTCAGACTGGAAGCCTCTGATCATTCTCAGTAAGTGAAAGAACAACAATCAGACGTGACAGAGGCACAAAACACTTCATGATCATCACACAGTCGCACTCACCTGTTCACTGAGGTCACTGCAGCTCCAGGACACGCTCTGAACCAGGGCTGCTGGGAAATGGAGTTTCATCAGATAACAGAGACGTCTCTGACAGGATCAAACCTGCTTCGGTGTTCAGACTCGTCAGGAGACGAGACGCTGAGTTAAAGAAGAGACGGTTTAACTTGAGTCCAGGAAGACGAGCAGCTTCAGTCTGACGGTGAACCTGATCAAACTCTGTTAAAGAACCTTCAATGCTGCACGCAGAACGACTGAAGAAAACTCCTCACTGCCACCAACAGGAAGTGACACATGTCTGATTGTTTCACTTTCTCTGCCTGACTCAGACCTGCACGTTTGAACAATAGACCATGGAAAAAGGAAGAAGAGCAACACGAAGGAGAAACAAGTCATACTGGAAGTACTGGTATATGGACTAAACTCTGACGGTCCTTTAGACTCAGCTCACTCTGCTGTTTCATTCAAACAAAGTTTATTTAAAGTAGATTATTGCTGCACTTTTACTGCCTCCATATTCATAAACTACGGAGCCCCCCAGGGGACATGGGAGAAAAAAAAATTCCGGAGGAAAAAAAAAAAATTAGGGAGGAAAAAAAAAATTAGGGAGGAAAAAAAAAATTAAGACGGACTTTTGCGAGATCTCGCAAAAGTCCGTCTTAATTTTATAAACAGTCTGTGAGACCATCATAACCAGTAACTCACAGGACGCTCACAGTAAGCCTCGCGAGCTGATGATGAGCAGCACACCTGTGTGACTCACACAGGTGTGCTGCTCATGCTGCTGTGATTGGTGCACAGAGTCTGAGCATTTAACATGTTCATGACCAAATCATACGACTGCATTTAACTTCCAGGTGAGTAGGGCTCAGCGGAGGGGGCACAGTGATGGGAGTGGCCCCTCCACAACACCTGCACAGGTAGAACAGTTAGGGGATCATTAATGTCGGGACTACTTTAGTTATTTGAAGTATTTTGGAATAAAAACTGTTTGTCCCTCCATAACAGAGGGATTATATTATCAGTGCTGTGGGCTCTTTGTTTAGACGGAAACCAACCTCAGTTTAAATGTTTGATGGAGAGATTTGATTTTGTCATTACAAAGTCAAACAGAGATAAAGCTCAGTCAGCTGATTCTTACTGTGCAGCAGACAAATACAGCTGAACTGAGCCAGACAGTCTGGTGTAAGAAGAGAGGTGAGGAAGCTCTGTAGTACAGCCAGCACTGCTGCAGCGGGACCCTGATGCACTGGGACCATCACATCTACAGGACACATCACACGTGTATAATTACACATGTATGTTACCCGAGGAAGGTTCAGGAGGATATTCCACATTCACTGTGGGGTGGTTGCACGCGTGTATCCTGATCATGCAGAGGAGAGAGCGGTGCTTTTATTTTGAAAGAGACTTCCTCTTCACGGCTGAAGCTCCGCAGAAGTCAAGGAGGCAGGCAGCTCGCGGACACGGAGACAGGTGAGTGTTTCTCTGCACAGGTGAGTTCAGCTGGCAGTGGACAGGAAGCGGATCCGAATCCTGTCGCGACTGAACTCACCTGTGAGCCGGGCAGGTGACGGAATGTGTTTGGACAGACTTTAGCTTCTTTTTCTTCTTCTTCTGTATGTGGTTTGTTGGCGGTTGGCAAACAGCAAAATGGTGCATTACCGCCACCAACTGGTGTGGAGTGTTTACCGAAATGACAAAAAAAAAAATCACATCCTCCCGAGCAGCTAGCTCCACCTGCGGTCAGGTGCCAGAGCTCACAGCCAGATTTGTGACAGACATCTGCACCACGTTTGAATTCGTTTCATGCAAAACGCATTTGTAACTTTCTATTTTGGCTGTTTTTGTGACTTGCAAATAAACCTTTAAAATAAATGAAATGATAATATGTATTTATTTTTGCCCTACTCGGTAAAAGATGCAAAATTATACACACAAAGTCATAGAAATGACCACGCCTATTGTTCATGATGATTTCAATATTTCTTCCCATAACAAAGAAATACATCTTTAACAAATATCACACATTAATATTTCACTCAGATCCTGTTGGCGTAGTCTGCCTGTGCCTTTTCTCTGGAAATAAACATTGTAAGCGAATATAGGTAACAAATCAACATGGCTGAAGAGTTTGTAGTTATATACAGTCTGTGTAAGTGTGCTTAATTTAATGCACGTGTAAGCAGATGGCAGTTACTGTGAATATACAGCCGTTACACAGTGATTAGTAATAAACAAAGCCAGTGTGATCGAGTCGAGAGAGTTAAATTCAATTTTATTTACACAGCACCAAATCACCACAGCAGTCGCCTCAATGTGCTTTATGTTGTACAGTAGATCGCGCAGAGCGTTCTCACTCCCGAGGCGTAACATGTCGACGTTTTGTCACGTCCCGCGGCGTTCCTGAGGAACGCGAAAGGAGACCTTCGGCGTTCTTATGGTACGCGGCGGGTTATGGCTGGAATCCAGTGCAATGACGCTCCCGCGGTAATAGACGTTCCAGCCCTGTA